GTGAGTGGCACTGTGTGCGTAACGAGATCTGTACTATTTCGCGTAGCGTTCTCGTAGAGGTATGTACGCACACTCAGAAATACACAGGCACAACAGTTTGTGGATGTACAGATCTCGTTACGCACACAGTGCCACTCACTGATGATGACGATGACGATGATGATGATGATGATGATGATGATGATGATGATTGGTCTCTCTCTATCCGTGCGGATGCAGACAGTGTACTCAGTAAAAACTTGGATACTGCACCAGTGTACGAAATTGTTCACCCGATCAAACGAGCTGCCTTTAGAACAATATGGAGAAATGCGAAGACAAGCAGATTCTTATTTCACCGTTCGTTTCACTCCACTTGTGATGTGTACGCACGCATTATACGTACACACACACACATACGACCGCACCGCACCGCACCTCATCCACCGTGTTTCGGGTCCAGTAGTGTGGATGCGTCCGACTGTGTTCACTATGCCTTTTTCTAACGGTGCAGACAACCAGTATTTGACCCAATAAGATTCCGTTCGACAGTCGCGTTCGCCATAATGTGAATTTCTTTCACCCCTTAAACATGACATCAAGAGAGAGAGAGAACACAGCATGGCTTGTTCGTTTCTAACCCTCTACGGGTGCGTGAATGCGTGTATGCATCATTGTGTATGCACTCGTACNCACTCGTTTAGGTAAGTTTCGATGCCTCCTCCATGGGGACGGATTGACTAACTTCCCTCCCCCGGGGTTATGCTGGCTAGAGTCATGCGTATTCATCGTACCAATTTTCCGCGCGCACACACACACACACACACACACACATGCTAATCCTTCGCCTCAACCCTCTCGGTCCGTCAATGCGACCTCTCACTCTTCGTCCACCCACCTGGGATAAAACACTCTTAACCAGGAATCTATACTATAGCATACCGATTCGTCTATATAATCTGTCTACCTCGACGCATACACTGACAAAGTTCCGTGTTCTGGCTCCATCGATGCAGGGGCGTATTCGTGTTCGTGTGTGCACGCGTGCGTACGTATGTGCGAGACCGTCTGTTTGCAGCTAGATGTGCATGAATACATACATAGAATTCATAAAGACGGAGATAGTGAGCGAGAACGAAAGAGTTTATTCGTGATTGAACCCGTAATAATGGCATAAACGTGTGTCTAGGTAGTGGTGTGCCTACTTATGCTCCTGCGACTAGGGGAGCGTAGACAAACACGCACACACATATACGCGTGTGCGCACGCGCATGTACACAGACATACAAGGCAGGAGATAATTTTTGCTTTTGCATGCACACGCGAGGATGCCTGTCAGGTATTAATCTGTCTGTCGCTCTCTCCGTCCGTCCGTTCCTCTCCCTTTTTCATGGTCCTGATCCTTTTGAGTACACACGTGTTTGTGTCCACTCATTAATTGTTCGGTTATGCATTACAACTTCGACTAAATATTGAACTTACCAATTACCAATTATTTAAGCCTAAGGAGTTCAATACCACGGCAATGATCGGGTATCATGACGAAGTGGGGGTGTAAACAGGCATGCTAAAAGCAGTGAACGAACCACGGCATGGACAGGTTGACAGGTTGAAGCGAACTTCCCAATGGATTATGACAATATTTGTCACAAATTACGATAATCGAACAAAGGCTGTATGACTGTCCTTCACATGGTACATGGTTTTACCATAATCCACTCATCGAACTTGGTTGACGGTACTGTAGGCATCTCCAGTGCACTTTTCGAAACGCACATTTCCGTCGCAAAAAAGTTACCAATATATTATTACTATTATTATTATATATATTACTCGGAGTGGGCGTTGGTGACGCCACCAGATGTGTCATCCCGGAGGACGTTTGTTCGAATCCCATCACTACCCCTACTTGACTTCTCTATTCTCTGTTTTGTATATCAGCCCTTGGATTGTCCGCCTCACTCTTTCTGAAAACTGTATAACGATGTATTCGATAAAAGAAAATGAAAAATGAGATGAAATAATCGTGCCGGGGTTGGCCGGATCGGTATCATCTTATTGGAGCCCCTAGGTAGTACTTCACTTCGAGTCCCAGTTCTCATTCGCCTAAGTGACTATGCGGGACAACATTAAAAATTATTATCGATACCACAAATGGCTGAATAGACCATGAATTTCTCGCTCTGTCCACTCATTCCATCTCACGAAACGGTCTGTGACAGAAACCAGCGAGATACTTGTTCCCAAGTAGAATTCTACCAATAAGAAGTTTTAGAAACTGTAAGCCAGTTATGTTCGGATCATTTCCAGCCGAGTGCAGAAGGATCTCACCCTTTAACTTAATCGGTAAGGTTTATTATCGAAATTACCCACTCGTCTCTCGTCTCGTGGGCTCCAATGTTTCCTCAGCAAGTAAACCAGGTACATCCGAGTCGATGAGGTCCTATCTGTTGACTATTCCATGCAAATGCCCGTCCCTGTTCTCCGATGTAGCCCACTTTGGCCCGTCCGGGTGTCCATTATCTTTTGTCCAAAACCTCTAACCCTATTCACATTTTTTTGCTAATGACGCCACTCTTCATTGTTCTCTTTCCTATATCACGAACTGTCCGGCCACAGGATCTCAATTGCAATTTTATCGGCGATTCTTTTATCCTCCGATTTCGGGTACGGGGTTCGACCAACCACTGCTTCTCTTATCTACCTTATTCGTTCCAATGAATTTTTGGACTAACTTTCTCTTCGTTTTACACACCACCTCTTTCGCTCTTGGGTTTATCCATCAGTTTTTCTCTCTGTTGTTCCCCTTTCATGCTCACACTCGCGCTACACGCAAACTCGGTTTCCTGTCCCATACCACCAGACTGGTCTTTACGTTCACACCTCGGTTCCTTCTATGCGCAGTTCGAATTGGTCCGATGTATGTCGCATAGTGCCACCACGTATAGAGTGGTGCTTCGTATTCTGCTCTTTCTCTTCTCGATCCTGTTCACAGTAAAGTCATCTGACCAGCCCTAGCTGATCGACAAAATGTCTTCACCTTCCAATCTGCAGCTGCTTCGTTATCTCCTTCCTACCGTCACTAATTTGCTTGCTGCTCTTCTTGACTCGTCTCACTGGCTCCCCTCGCCTGTTCTCAGGTAGGTGGTCACCCTGATCAAGTCTCCATCTCCCGGGATTACCAGACTGTGGAACACTCTTCCCATCTAGGCATTTCCAAACACTAATAATCCTACTATTTTCAAAAGCAAAATTAACAGCATGGTTTTCTCCTGAGTGCTCTCCTACGTACCTTTCCTTTAACAGTATGTCCTTGATTTGAGCAGGGATTATACTTTTTACTGTAACTGTGTAAAAAAAAAAATAGATATTAGCAACAAAAATAGTATTTTCATTTATCATGTACTACTGTCATGACAACTGTGTCTGTCGAACTGTTTTGATAAACTTTATTTGATGGGTCACTTAACAGAGTCTACTACGGTGTAGTTGGTTACCATAACGTCCCTCCGGAGTTAGTGTGTTCGAACGCCACCCCGAGCACTTAAGCCCACCCACTCACGTTTCCTTTAGTGACATATCAGTAATATCTTGCTTGGTCAGATCAATGAAAAAGAATAAAAGAAATAAAGAAAAAAGAGGAGGAAAACAAATATTTCTATGGTGAAAGATTCATCAAATGTGTTCACTTTTTCAGTCACTACGACACTGATTTTCTTCGTGATGAAAATTGGTACAGTGTCAGTTGCTAAGGTTTAAAATAGATATCGAGGTGGTTGTGTCATCACGACCTGTTTTTGCTAAGGTATGATCACTGCTTGGATCACGGTGCCTGCATGGTTCGTGTCATATCTGTTACCCGGGTAAACAAAGGCAACGAGGACTTTGTAAGCTGCATTGTTTATCCTCTGGAGACTGGAATAGGTGCCGACGCGAACACGGCTGCTACAGTCGGTCTGTGTGAGGAATCTCACAGACAGTAGACCTCGGATTCGCAAGAGGGTAATTCTTAGCGGATGATAAGTTCCAAGACGGGTAAAAGCGTGCCAGATTTGTTTAACAATGAAGTATATCGAAGAAAACTTCTTATGAGTGAAGACAGCGGTCACAGAATACAAATGAGGCTGTAATCGGGTGACACAAAGCAGACGAATGGAACCCACCGGTTGGATAAGAGTTAGCAGTAAATCGATTGAATATTGGCATACATATGATGATTTCACGATCATTGTATCGTATCGATGAAGTTAGATTGGATTTCCGATCGCATTGACCCAAATCGATGAATTTAAACGGCCTCATAGATAAGCAGAAAAGAAATACCAGTTGCTCAACAGGACCATGAAAGTAAATTATTAGGTGTTTCCCAGCAAAGCCAAAATATGAGGC